GTACACACTCGTACTGGTATCGGATACTTTCAATAGTAATATTCCAAAACATACTAATCAATACTCACTACTGAATGATATTCGCAGGTGCACTAGTTACCGTTGTTTTTCATCCAAAGCTAGGCGCAAAAAGCGAGGACAGCTTGGTATCGCCAAGGTCTTCCGAGTTTGACTCAGAAACAATGAGTCATGGTACTTGTGTACGTATGATATGGTAATGATTCGAAAGATGCATATCAAACAAAAACTGTGCCCTTGTTGACCTGGGCTCACGTGTCATATTATATGAAACAAACAAACAAAAAATAATAAACTGATAATTAAATAAACAAAAAACACAAGTGAATAAATAAATAAATACATTAATACATTGATAGATAAATAAATAAATAAATAAATAAATAAATAAATAAATAAATAAATAAATAAATAAATAAATAAGTAGGATCACATATAATCCATTGCAAATATCAAACATTTTTTTTGCGGCTAGATATCAATGGTCAAGTATCATTTTAAAGACCAAAAAGCAAAGAGAAAAAAAATTGAAGACGCAGACTTTATGGCGATGACAAAAATAAATAAATAAAATAAAATACAAAAAAAATAAATAAATAAAACGGCGGAGTTACCACGGAGCCACAGAATCTTCGTTGATAGGTTGCAGACCAAATGGACACGTTCTACTTTCTCACAGAGAGGGCCAGTTTGGCTGTACATGTGCATATCTGACATAACAATCGAAAACCCGTGAAGCGTACAGGGTTACCACTTAATATGGAATATTATTTTTTGGCGAATAAATTTTCTACAAAATATTTAATTTCTCTCAAAGTACATTAAATCCAAAGCTGAGGTATCACTCCATGTGTAGCCAGATGTGTTACCTAATTACCACACAACTCTCGAAACAATTGATGCATGCAGTTGCATGTTCTGTGGTCAGAAATGTGAGGGATGGTCTTTTCGGCAATTTCTGCCCTTGTATAAAAACGCATGGGTTTGGTCAATCTTTGTAGCGTGTTTAGAGAAGCAACAAAGGGATCGCTCTGAAACTTGACAGGTACCTTAGTGAAGATATGGTACGACAGCAAAGCAACGCAGCGTACTATGGGATTCTTGCTCTCAGAGAAAATGGCCAGAAACGGACAGCCATTGCCAGGTAATTCAACATTTATCAGGAACCGTTTGTGAAGTCCTCCAAAGAAATGCTGCTACAGGGGAACCTACTCCAATACCTCGACCAGGGTGTCCGCGTATCACACCAAGAAGACAGGATCGCCTTCTCCTTAGTGGACGCCGTGCTGGTCGTACAAAGACAACCAGTGTCCTCAGAAAAGAGAGGCAGAATGTCATCCAAACGCCCGTTTCAAGGTCCCACGTGAACAAGATATTTCTGCAAGCCGGTTATTTTGCACGAAGGCCAGTAGGGAAACCACTGTTAACATCAGGTCATATACAGCGACGTCTGCAAAGGGTTGGGGACCACGTGCGTTTGCAGCCAAAACACTGGAATCACGTTGTTTTCAGTGATAAGGCCAGATATGGATTTTTTAGGGTTGATCGTCGAATCCGTGTCCACCGACGTGTACGAGAGGCATAAAACAATGATTATGTACTGCCTAGGGTGAAAGGAGGGGATGGTAACGTCTCTGTTTGGGGAGCATTTCATGTCGGTGCCCAGAACCAGTTGGTTTTTCTAGGAGGCAACCTCATCCAGGATTCCTACAGAGACATTCTACAGCAAACAATGCTTCGATTGGTAAGATTCATCTTCAGGAACAACTTTGTGTACCAAGACGACTGCCCAACCCCACATCGAGGCCACAGAATCACCGTTTTTCTTCAAAACCAATGGGTTCAGCAACTGCCCTGGCCTGCAAACTCTCCAGATATGAACCCAATTGAAAATCTGTGGGCGGAAGTAACTCACAGAATTAATAGCTATGGTCCTCGGCCGGTAAATAGTGATGAACTGCGACAGGCAAATATCACTGCGTGGAATGATATCCCCACCCAA